AGGAGTGGGCGGGTTTGTTTGAGAACTTACCCATAGCATTTGATGGGCAGCCGGGGCCGCTCAGACACCTGCAGACCATCGGGGGGATCGAGTATGACGATGATGATGAGACACCAGAGCAATACCGGGAGGGGGCAAGGCGACTGCAGGTGAGCAATGACCACACAGCAGAGGCCTCCCTCATTTATGCTTGCAAACACACGAATGACGTCCTTGTCTCTTTGGTTTTAGGATGTGCTCACATCGCGCGGCTGCCACAAGTCGCTGACGAGGCTCGACGTGCGGATTCCACCATTCCAGGACCACGACAGTCTCTCTGCCCTGCTCGCTGTCGACGGCTTCATCAACACCTGCTGCGTCTCACCGGACGTGCCGCTCAACGTGCAGGTCACGCGTCCGGGCAGCTTCGAGCTGTCCCTCTTCTACGCTGACGCATTCCCCCCTCGCCCATCCCCCTTCATCAAGACGGCCATCCAGGAGGCGGCGAAGCAGGCGCGGTACGTGACCTACACCATCAGCCAGCATGACATCACCCACCCCGTCTACAGCCCCAGCCAGACGGCCGTCGAGATCGCGAAGACACTCTCATTCGACAAGACGAAGGAGGTGTATGTCTCCAGCGCCTACGGCTTCGTCCTCCCTCCGCCTGGCACCCCCTCACCCATACCCGCAGTCATCAACGACATGCAGCCTTTCCCAGTGGCCGAGGAGCTGCACATCCGCAGCGCATTTGGCGGGGCTCCAGGCCGTCTGCTGGGGCAGGAAATGCCCAAGATGCCCATGCGGGTGCAAGTCGTGTGGTTTGGTGCAGCTGTCAGTGCAGAGGATAGAATTGCCGTGGTGGAGGCGCTGGGGCAGGAGAGGGAGGTGGACAGTGTCGCTGTGGGTGATGAGGAGCCGGTCAGTCTCACGCAGGGCGGCGCCTTTGATGGATGGCGGTCGCAGGGCTTACCGTCGCTTCGCAGCGTAGACATGTACCTATTAGGTATGCGAAGCAGGCAGTGAGTGCAGCAAAGGGGGCGCTCGGTCCGTCTCGTGTGTTCATCCGCCCTGTCTGTGTGTGTCTTTATTCAGTGCCCCATGAGTTGGAGGATGCTGTTGCTGCCGAGCTCATCCGTTACGGCCTCTCGGCTATCCTCACCGCTGGGCTGCGCGGCCTGAGGCGTGTGGAGCTGTGGCTGGAAGGGGAAGCGAATGACTCCATTCTCACGGCGATTCGACAGCTGCTCCCAAACGGCACGGAGATCGACGACTTCACCATCAACACACGAAGAACTCTGGTGGAGGCAACTCGTCGCTATTAATCGGTGAGAACGACACGGGGGGCGGCCGAGGACTCACTCTGTGTGCACACCGCACACGTGTGTGTATGTGTGTGTGGCCAGGCTGTCTGTCTGTTTGTCCACACACAAGACAAGACAAGGCAAGACAAGACAAGACAAGACAGGACAGCATCGTAGCCGTAGCTGCCGCATGGCCGGCCATCTGATTAGGCCCACGTGCAAACACTCTCTTGATGGATGAGTGGATGGATGGATGAGTGGCCCGCCCAGCTGCGGTGTGTGCACGTGGGCGCTGTACAGTTGATCCTCGCGCTCCATTGGCAGCCCACCGTCTCGGTTGATGCCTGGTCATTCATGGTGACTCATCAATTGTACCAGGCAGACCGAGAAGGTGCCGCCTGGATGTGAGCGTGTGTGGATGGTTGCTAGCAGTGAGGCATGATAGCCCATGGATGGCTGGATTCATAGTGTGTGCGGGACTCGTCTGATTGTGTGAATACCTTCAATAGGCAAGTGGGTCGAGTCATTGGCTGCCGGCATACATGCAAGGAATTAAGTCGATAAACGAACATGTCGGCACGTCATCGCCTCAGCATTTCTCGGCCCGCCATGATTACCTACACAATCCATTCACCTTCACACACACGTGCAGAAGCTGCCGGCAAATCTAGACTCGCCACGGGATGGCGTACCTCGTGGGACAAATAGAGATCGTATACACATAGACACACAGCGAAAAACGAAAAAGACAGCTGTCACGTCGAGGGCGAGGTCTTCATCAAGGAGGCGACGGCACTCAGCCAATGCCACCCAGCAGACGGCTGAGCACACAGACAAAGGGGGAGGGGAGAGAGGGACGCACACCTCATCGTTTCTGTCTCGGTTGCTCCTTCTCTTCCTGACCTGCAGTGTGTAGATCTCCATATCGGCAAGCATGAAGTCGGTGCTGGAGGCCAGGCTGGCGCGGCCCTTGTTGTCGGTGGTCCCGATGTACTTCTTGTACGCCGGCAGACGGTCCTTCAGCAGCCACTGAGCGCAGCCGCGAAGGTCGGCACTCTGACAGCCCAGCCACAGGCGGCCGGGGGCCTTGTGGATCATGTCACCGATGCACACCTTGCCGACCGGCTCACACTCCACGTTCTTGACCGCTCCTTGTGTGCCAGCCACCCAAACAGGCTGCTCGGCCACGGGCAGGTCGATCTTGGTGATGCCGTCGCCCTCGAACGCACCGCACACCGAAAACAGCGACACGGGGCAACGGGTCATGGTCACTGCAGTGGGGTCGGCGGGCGGGGTGAGTCCGCCCTCGATGTGGGGGGGCGACGACGGGGCCGCCGAGGTCTTTGAGCAGCAGCAGGAGGTCGGTGGCGTCGCCCACATTCTTGAACATGGCCTCGGACTCCCAGCCGTCACGCTCACCCCTGACAGACACACACACACAGAGGGAGCAAAGGGATATCATTCACGAGGCACCAACAGCTTCCCTGTCATCGGTGGCTCACTTGTAGAGGAGTTTTGGGGCCGCATCCGTCATGCCGGTCGCGTCGACGAGTGCTCGCAGGTCATCCGCAGTCAGGATGGGGTCGGCCGGCACGGCACTCCACACCTGCACACAGCCAGGAGAAGGATCTCATGATGTCCACAGTCACTTGTGTGCCCTCTGGTTGATGCCTGGCTGACCGACCTGGAAGACCTCCACACGCTGGAAGGTGGAGCGATAGGTCTCAGCCCCACAGAGGCTCACGGCCTCGCTGTTGATGGTCTTGCCCACAAACTTCCTGTTTGCCGGCAGCTCCTTCTTCCACACCCACTGATAGCACTTGAGAAGGTCGTCAATCGGGCCGTCCTTGCCAATCCCCAGCCACAGGCGGCCGCCAGCGATGCACACCTTGGCGCGTGGCACACCGTTCTCGTCCGTTACCGCCCCCCGTGTGCCCGCCACCTCCACGTCTTGCGCCTCCTCGGGCACCTCGATCTTGGTGATGCCGTCCTCAAACGCACCGGACACCGAAAAGAGCGACACGGCACACCAGAACAGCAGCTCAGATGTGGGATCGGCCGGCAGCTGCAGTTTGGTGTCGGCGAAGACTGCGATGGTGTTGGTGTCGTCGCACTTTATGACAAAGAGGAGGCCGCGCCGCCCCGCCACACGCTGCGCCAGACTGGTATACGACGAACCGTGCAGCGAACTCCTGACACACACATATCACACAAACAGACGGGCGAATGCATGGGGCATGGCGTGATGCCCTTCGTTTGTCTGCTCTCACTTGAAGAGGCAGGTCATCTTAGGTTGTTTCTTGCCGATCATGATGAGGAGGGTCTGCATGACGTCGTTGGCGAGGATGTTGGGGTACATGGCCTCGAGGACGCCATACATCTCACTCACACGCACCAGCTCGTCCTGGTGGGCACACGAGGGCGGTGGGACGACGGCGCCATCGGGGGCCAGGCGACACCGACGAGCGAAGTCGACGACGCTGCAAACACCAATAGACGAACAGATGAGCTCTCTTCAAGTTGCCTGTGGTGGTTGTCTGGGTGCCTACAGGTCGAAGTGGTGCCCAGACACGTCGACGATGGGAGTGCGACCATACCTGCACACGTGACACACAGGGGAGAAGGAGAGCCAATGACACACATTCCCTCTGTCATCTCCTCCTTGCCTTTCTCACTTGGTGAATCGGTCGTTGAGTGTGTCGAAGTCGGCCAGTGTGGCATCGGTGGTCGCCACTGTGCGGCCATCGACAGTCACACTGAGCACCTCCGTCCCTCCTCTTCCGCCCTTCATGGACGACTTGATGAAGGCGCCCATCATGGCCATGAAGCTGCGGAATGCCGATTGGCTCTCGCTGTCCTCAGTCGGTTTGTCGATGGCGATGGGCGACTCGGCGAAGAATAAGTCGTGGTAGAAGGGGATGGGCTGCACGGCGTCGAACATCTCGATCTCGTCGACCCACCCATGCTTCAGACGGCAGAGCTTCTCACACAACCTGACACACACACAACCAAAACACACACACACACACACACACACACACAGCCACCAGTGAGTCAATGAGTGTCATTGGCTGCATGCTCCCCTCGCCACTCACCAAATGAAGTAGAAGGGATCTGCGTCGATGAAGATCGTCCCGTCGGCATCCTTGAGCATCCACTCGTCGAACCGGTGCAGCAGCACCGCCACACACGTGCCCCCAGCCCCTCGCGCAGCAGCACGCCACTCGGGAAGGCCATGACATAGCCGCCGACGTTGATCTGCATCACGCCGCCGCTCATGGTGCCTGCTGTGGCCTGGCTGCTCGTGGGTGATGAGTCCTGCATGCGGTCAGAGAAGCAGATGAATCACGGGACCATCTCGTGTGCTGCTTGAGCTGGCAATGCAAAGCACTCTTGCGTGGCGGATGAAATGAAGGGTTTCGGCGACAACGCATTGGAGCTCGCAGCGAGCTTCTCTCTCCTCTCTCTCCCCTTTCTTTCCTCCCCCTGTGTTCCCCTTTGTTCCGCCTTGACACATCTTCGTTCGACTCATCTGGTTTCTCAGATTGCTTTGGTATTCATCGCAGAGAGGCCATGGCTGACAGGGCGATGGAGGTCAGTGAGGCAACAGGGTGAAGCAGTTTGGGCACACTGACTGGCTGTGATTGGGTTATTGTTTTGTTATTGCTTGCTGCCTGTCAGACACAGAGGCGCTGCTCGGGAGAGGGAGATGAGCTGTCCCCCGCTGCTGCTGCTGCTGGTGTGGATGGAGCAGCGGCCGATGCAGAGAAGCAAATGAATGTCGAAAAGGTAAGTCAGGCGAGAGAGAGTGAGTGAGTGACTGACCCATTCGCTGTGTGTGTTGGCACCTGCAGATTTGTGTGTTGGTCATGCCGTTCCTGCCCCTCCATCTGCTCGTTCCGCTCTCCCAGAAGACCTGGCAAGAGGCGGCGGCCTTCCAGACACGGCTCGTCATCGACTGCGACACCACGGCTGACGACGACTACTGGCAGTGGACAAAGGGACTCGTGTTTTGGCAGCGACTCCCTCTCGACTTTGTGATTCGGATAGCGGCACGGCTTACCCACTTGCGTGAGATCACCCTCCGCCACCCAAGATTCTGCCTCATGTGGTGTATTGATGCCTTCCTCACCTTTATCGAGACCACAGCCGCCCTACCCACGCCCACCGAGCAGCTCGGCAGCCATGGTGCGCCGCAACAGTCGGCCAGCCAGCGAGGAGGAGCGCTGCAGACTATCGCATTCGACTCGGTGGGGCTGACTGTCGCGGAGCTGCGCAAGCTGAAGCGGTCGAATCCGGATCTCCCTCCCCCCGTCACCCCTGCCCCCACCCTGCCCTCACTCAAGAGTGTCACAGGAGCCCTCCGAGAGCACCGTGTGCTGGCCGACAGGGGCTGGCGCATGCCCGCACTCGAGCGTGTGGAGCTAAACGGATGGGCTGCCGACGAGCTGGGCCGCTTCATAAGCTCGTCGTCATCGCTGAAAGAGGTGGAGCGGCGTTGCTGGACCTGGGGGGAGTGGGCGACCGCGTTTGAGCGCATGCCCGTAGCACCTTGTGGGCAGCCAGGGCCACTCGGACACCTGCAGACCATGAGAGGGATCGGGTATGTGCATGAGCCTTTTATGGAATCAGTACAGGAGTACCGGATTGGAATCAAGCGGCTCCGGGTAGGCAATCATCACACATAAGAGGTCTTATCTGTGCGTGTGCAGGCACCAGTGGTGTCCTTCTCTCTTTGGTTTTAG